ACTGGTTCAACGCAAGAATGTACAGGTTCGAACCTAATTGAACCGGATCGAACCAGTTCCACCGCGAGAAAACAGCTTTGATCTACACAGGTCTTATGAGGATAGGCTATCCCGTTTAGTGTGTAATATTCTTGAATCTTCTTCTCCAACCGTCTCAACTCCCAACCTCAAGCAAAAGTTTCCTCGAGCAACATCCGGAGATGCTGGGGGGGGGACTTTTGTATATACATATAGACAGATAGTGAAGTGTAATGCATCTGTTGCATTGTAGATCTGCAGATTTTCTTTTTCAGCTTTCTTTCAATAATGTTTTTTTTTCTCCGGTTCAACTTACTTTCAAAGGTGGCATCCCTACTTAAGAGCTAAAAGTGTTGAAAAAGTAAAAGGAGCTGCCAATCCGAACCGAGCTGCGGCTGCACTGTTAGCAGATGGGACTTGGAACGCAGACTAATGTATAATGGCCGTTTGCACCGACCATTTTGAGGAAGCCATAAGCCTAGTACTCATAACTGCGAAATTCGCAATTTTTTGACATTGCTTCGACAAATTGACGTTTTATGCGTGAATTAAACGTCAAATCGTCGAAGCAATGTCAAAAATTGCGAATTTCGCAGTTATGAGTACTAGGCTTTAGCGATAAGTATTCCTTAAAGTGACATTTATCCATGTAGAAATGTCATTTTAAGGAATACTTATCGCTAATGTTTCTTTAAAATGGTCGGTGCAAACGGCCATAAATCACCTATCCATTTTGGACAGTGTTCCGTTCCCAACCCTGGATAACTGGTCTGTAGATCTTCAGTTGACAGTGATTCAATTGAAGACATGCAGTGACTTTGGAACTTTGTGATTTAGGCATCCCACAAGGTTGCTTGAAAGAGATAGGTTGCCTGATAACTTTTATGACTGTATGCCTAAGCACAATGCAAATCTCCATAGGAACCACCCGATGACGTCATCTGTTTGCCCTTACCAAACAACCTATTACAAGTAATTGATATTTAGGAACCTTGGGCATTACATTCTTCGTATTCTCTTTTCGACTTCCATTATACTTTGCTTTTTCAAACTCACAGGCACAAAAGTTGTCAGAAATGAGAAATAATACAGAAAATTATAATATAACATATAAAATAAACAAAAAAATAATAACCAACCGGAAAAACGGAACGGTGACAATACGATAGCCGACAGTTACCGAAAAACCTTTCAGCGAAATCAATGTTTGCTGGGTATCCGGCTATGCGCTCCTACATCACTTATCCGATTACGATGAAACTTTGGTAGGTTGTTATGGCCATCCCAAGGAAGGTTTGTGGATAGGTTACGCATCTCGGAAAAAGAAATTAATTTTGAATTAATTGTTAATTTAATTGTAAACAAACTCATTCACATTACATAACAACATAACCCAACTTTTTTTTGACCGCATGAAACAACGTTGCCACCGATCTTAAATTTAATACCACGTATCTTTATGTAAGCTGAATTCGATTGATCCAGATTAGATCGATTTGGGTTCAATTTAAGTGAACTTCTTCTGATCTAGATCATTTTTTTTGTTGATGAGGGTGCACTGATCCAGCCTCAATCCAACACAGTGTGGTTCACTTAAATTGAACCAGATCAATCTAATCCGGTCAATCGAATTCGGCTATAGAGGAGAGTGATATAGGCTATTTTTTATCCCGAAAAAAAAGTTCGGTTGCGCGAAACTCTGATACACTGGAACGCCTATAAACAGCCCGGGGCGCTCTAGAGCAGCACTGGAGTGCTTAAAATGCATCACTGAACTCACTGGCAAGCGACTCTGGTATCGGATAAAAAAAAATTAAATAGAAAATCAACAACAAAATTTGAAAAAAAGTGTATTATTTCAAAATGTATTTTAACGCTCGCAACGCAGCGGGTCGCGGGTCATTAGCTATATTTATTATATCTAGAAAACGCTTTTGTAGGCTGGTTGTATAATCCTTCGTTTATATAAATTTAATAGGTTCATCTCGATATCTGAAGCAGTTTTTCTTTAGTTTGGTTTTTACGAAACGCTTACAATCCCCCACGTGTTGTGGCCCCTAAAATTTGGCATCAACTTAGCCCCCTCTTAGTTTTTTGTCGGAAAATAATCGAATATGGAAATTTTGAGAAAAACCTGATACAGCACAGTTCAGCACACTTCAGATTAGATAAGAATTCAATTTTGTTTAATCTGATTTCCAAAATTTTGGGGGGGCTGAACGTCAAGTTAGCCCCCAGTAGGATTTTGTCGGAAAATGACCGAATAGGGAAATTTTGAGAAAAACCTGATACAGCACAGTTCAGCACACTTCAGAATGGATAAGAATTCAATTTTGTTTAATCTGATTTCCAAAATTTTGGGGGGGCTGAGCGTCAAGTTAGCCTCCCAGTAGGATTTTGTCGGAAAATGACCGAATGTGGAAATTTTGAGAAAAACCTGATACAGCACAGTTCAGCACACTTCAAATTGGATAAGAATTCTTTTTGAGTTCATCTGATTTCCAAAATTTTGGGGGGGCTGAGCGTCAACTTAGCCCCCCATCCATTTTTTCTTATAACTTTGTTATCGAAACGGCACAGTTCAAAATATCATCGGCAGTAAAGCACACTTCGAGCACAGTAAGTGGTTGCAATTTTTTCAGAAAATCCGAATGTGGGGGGGCTAACTTGACGGAGCCTTAGGAGGCAGTGACGATTTTCGGTACTTATTTTCCCAGTCAGACAACACCGATAGAATTGTAGGGTTAGTAATTCTAAGCAAAATTCATATATTTTTAGGGGGGGTTTTCCGATGGGCTGAGGCGCAAGATGCGTTAAAGCTTACGAATGCGCGGCTCTTTTTTTTTCAGTGATGAAAATAGGTCTACTTATGAGAAGTATATTGAAGTTACGTAAAAAAATAGTCCGGCAAATCTGTGAGTATAAATAATATGTCTGGCAAGTGAAAAATTGAAGATCGAAAATTTTCAGCCAGACTCACTAATTTCCACTATCTGAGATAAATCAATTTGCTATTATCATATACTTTATGTTCTATTGTAGTAAATGTGAAATATTTATGTCTGGGAAAATAAGTGTACTTGTATTTTTCATTGATCCTGTGAATCCATCCGAAAATTTTAGCCAGACTCAAAAATTCTTGTTTTGTATCACCAGGAGAACAAACTATTGAATAGAAACCAACTGGGAAAATAAGTGCTCAAAAATTTCACTGCCTCCTGGACTAATATAACAAGAAATAAATAAATAAATAAATAGCCACCCACGGATGTGACAGCTGACAGGTTGACGCGTACGTACAGCTCGGGGGCTCAACGCCCCGAGTAGCTCCGGGCGTCTAAGGGAGGATTTTCATGCATCCGTTTTTCCGTCAAAATATGTCCGTTTAACATTCTATTCTGACATAATCGTATATAAATATGTCCTAATAGAACGTTAAACGGACATATTTCGACGGAAAAAACGGATGCATGAAAATCGTCCCTTAAGCCTAGTACTCATAACTGCGAAATTCGCATTTTTTTGACATTGCGTTGACAATTTGACGTTTTATGCGTGTATCAAACGTCAAATTGTCGAAACAATGTCAAAAAAATGCGAATTTCGCAGTTATGAGTACTAGGCTTTAAGCCTCTGCGGAAAGAAATCTCTTCCCGCACAGCAAATCGTGCGGGAAGAGCCATTTCCCGCACGCTCGTAGAAAAAGTTCTATTTTTCTATCTGTAATTCCATTGATGGACGATTTTCGTCTTATACCACATTTCATCGAACAGAATTTTAATGGGTGTAATCTTAACGACATCTTGTATTCAATAAACAGGATCGTGTGCATATAAACCAACACCTTCGCGACCCATTAATTGGGTGAAATCCTCTTGGAGTTAAGGTTTTCAGATAATGCAATTTAACCATTTAAACTGCTTAACGGTACCCGCTAAGCTTCTAGTGGTTAATCCTATCATCCAGTAATTATAGTGTGTCCAATCACTCCAATTATAGATCATTGCCTTGCACTCTGCTTTATTTTGCAAGTAATTAATAGGTTTTCTTCTGTTGATGCTCTAGGTTAGCGTCATCGTCAGTAAACTTGAAGTTCATCCCAATCATCCCTGGTGGATACCCTTATAAGTACCCACCTACTGCGATGAGAAGAAACTTGAGTTCGTGTGTAGCTGAAAAAGAAATTACAATGGTAAAATCTGTTTTTTTTTTAAAGATAAAAGTCAAAATGACATTATGTTGGCAATACAATGTAAAATTGTCAAGCTTTCAAATTTTTTATGTAGAAAAGGCTTGTGTTGCCAACATAGTTACTAAATATTTGACTTGGGGAATTCTCTTTAAAAAAAAAACAGACTTTATAATAATGGCTGGGTTGCTATTAATGGTACTAGTAGCAATGCTGGGGCCCAATTCGTGAAAAATATCGCATACGAAAGAATGGGCCACTGCTAGCAATTTTGAGCCATGTTAATGGATGTATCACCAATGATTGTTATTGTTACCATTAATACGATATTGTGATGCTATAAATGTACCAACATTTAAGGTCTTTAACAGGTCTATAGGTACTTATAGTTTAGGTAATATTTAGCTGCAAGAAATGTACTGTAGAACATACGGACTGCAGTGGATTACGCTAGTTTCCGAAGAATATTCCTAAAATAGATTACTTAGGTTGTATATTACTTATACCTAATTTTGTTCGATATTGCTGTCGGTGGTCCATATCTAGGGTTTCATGAAGCTTGAGAGAAATGATAGCACTTTCAACTTTTCCAGTTGTAAATAAAACAAGGGAAATTTGTACATAGGAGTGTAGCTACTTAGTGTAAATGATGTTTCTACCATTCCACCACGGTGCCTATACCAGCTGATAGCTGAATTTCCACAAGTTCTTGAAGCTTTTCATGGCTATCTTGTATTATGGTGCTCGCTTTTTCTTTAAGGGGAATTTTTGGAATGAATAAAACCCAATTACCTATGTTGCTCAAAGAAGAAACAATATTTATTAAAAATACCAAAAAAATAAAAAAGATAATATATATTAACTCTCACAAATTTATACATAAACAAAAATAAATAAGAATAAAATTCAAACAAGATAATTATTATGGCAAGTACAAAAAAATAACTGATGCAAAAAAAATATGTCGTACACAAGGAAGTAACTCAAGAAAACTTGTAGGTATTTAAAATACACAGTTTAAAGCACTATTATCTAAATATTATGACAGTCTTTAAGGAAAAAAAATGTTTAAATGTTTTGGACTAATATTTATTCCAAAGTCAACTTTGAAATATTCCTATTCACTAATTTCAACTAATGGTAACTTTCATAAACTCTTTTAAATGCAGTAAACACTATAGTATAGTCTAGGTTATATTATTGATTTAGGCTTTTTATAGGCCTTTTGAAAATTGGTCAAGATTTTTTTTATGTCAATTAATTTTCTCTCTCATAGTTTATTTTGCACAACTGTTTAATTAAGTTCAAATTGTATTATTAGGCTATTTGGCAGTTACATTACTGAATTAGACCAACTAAATTCGTTAGTGATGTGCAGCTAGAGAGTCTAGCCAAAAAAAAAATCACTTCTACCTAATTCCTAATTTGTGTCTGCACATCACAGCGACATAATTTTCCTAGCTAAAATGAAGTGACTAGACATTAGTAGGTGCTTCCATGCCGCAAATGATGCTTTTCATAACGCTTGAGGCTGCCAGAGCTGCATAGGGTTGCCATTCTTTCCGTCTTGTACCGTCTTTGTAATCAGAAATACCTAAACAAGAAATAATTGATACAAAATAAGTTGCTCGCTAGATCTAATTGTTAGGTACCTCTTATACACACAAAACTATCTTTACAGTTTCCTAGAATCGATTCGATCACAGCATCAAATTCGCAATCAAAAGCCAATGCACCAACTTGAGCTGCAAATTGTTGTCTCAACCTGTCATCTTTGACTACTTGACGGCCTGAAGCTACTGGGGCTAAGTGGATCCGTGGACAGCCCTCTAGTCTGCAGAAAAATATTGAAAATTACGCATAGGAAAGAGAAAGTAACCAAAAACTAACTACAACTACACTAAATTTGCCTAAAAAGAATTACATGTGTTGTGCTATGTTTATCATTTAAGGATAATCTCCCACAATTTTTATTTATTTATTTCCTAATTCACAGGCGATTCATTATAGAGAACATTGTTTGATCAATCAATAACCACCGCAATAGATATATTAAAAATAATGGAATCTAACGAAACACAAGGACTACATGATAATTAGAGATTTGAAAGCGAATATAGGTAAGGCCAGATGCTTGCCAAATTGTCAAAAACTGATGGTATCTTTAGAAAATGTTTATTTTTTACAATGGACAAAATTGAAGAAATCAGTTATTAGAATAAGAATAGATCTAACAACCACGTTGAAACTTTTAGCGTTTTATTGGTATCTATATTTTGTTATTAAAAAATGGATTTTCAAATGAACTATACTTCATGCCTAGTATTTTCGCTTTTTTATAATTAAACGTGACAAAATGGCACATTTACGTCCGAATTCCTTCCATAGACTCAGATCCGCTGGGCAAACAATACCTATAAGAAAAAGATGCTGTCCGTAATAGGCATGAAATAAGTGAAATCCTGGTTCGCTTTTGTAAAAGTCGTAACTTATATCATAGTTAAACATATAGTATGAACACAGAAAATTGAACTGAATGTCCTTGAATGGCAAAGCCAAACATGAAAATAATCAGCAATTCACAATGTGCATCTTCTTGCCAATATGAGGTAATCCGAATATTTTCCATAATTCCATATTATGGAATATGGTCTACATTTGTTTAGAAGTGCTTTCTCTTGGCATTCCCGCTTCTTTTCAATCAAAGTCCATCGAACGTAGAGATGAAGTGCGCTTTCAAGTTGAAAACAACCTAAATTGGAGATATTACATACACAAATATGGCCGACCACGATGGACATTGAGTTGTCTTTGAGTGTATTTTTCAGTGGCTTACATTACATCCAAAATTAATGTGAAAGCAGTGTGGGAAGTGGGAAGTCACTACTATAGTTTTGTGCTTATGAATTACATAGCTGTGCTTATCGTCGAATTCCTTGAGAATATGGGATTTTTTTGAAACAAGTGTTTTTGCAGCGTTGTCAGTGCATCTCGTCAGAATTACTTTTCTTGAAAATTATGGAAGAGCTTCATTGTGGATTTTGCGCCCAGATATGTTTTTTCAGGGAAAGCAAGACTCAATTGTTTGGATGTTCATGCGATAATGGCCAGAAAATCTCGTGTCATGTAGGGATTGTAGCAAAATTTCCTCACAGGAGGTAAGGTGTGCAACTGCTAAAACTAGAACCTTCTTGATATGATGCAGGGATTGCTAAGACATTTTCTAAATTCAGTACTACTGATGAGAATTCAGATAATATTAATTCCAAGGACTCTGCGAACTCCACGAAATTGCTAACTAGTAGTAATGAAGTAACCAAACGCCTACTTAATGAAACCCTGGAGCCTGGAGGTGGTCGGAGGACGTCTAATTGAGAAGTTTGATGCCATGTTCAAAGTTGTGTTGGAGAGCCATAAGGAGGTAGTGCGATTTTTGCTGGAAGGGCAAAAAAAAGAACGCAACTTGCTGGAAGCCGGGGTGGACGTGGCAGCGCTGCTTTTTCCCCCCCTACAAGCGAAAAGCGTGACGAATAATGGAACAGCTGTTCAAGTTCAAACAAGGCAGGCCAATGTTGCCAAATCTCCCTCTTCTTCTTCTCCTGCGCTAGTGGACCTGCAAAGTGCAGAGCAGGAAGTGCAGACACCATGGAGAAACGAAAGCGCTCGTCGACAGGTGATGGAGAAAAAAGGAGATGTAGAAAATAATAGTTATTTAAGTATTAAGGGCGGTAAGTGTCGTTTACCGCCCGAGATTGTTTGAAGACCGACGCGTAGCGGAGGTCTTCAATATTCGAGGGCGGTTAACGACACTTAACGCCCAAAATACTTATTACGTTTTATGCACGATCGGGCTATTCCAGTTCAAAAACTTAATTTATAGAATGGCATCCAATTGACATTTTCAAAAATAGAATTGTCTTCCTCCTATAAAGGCGCGTTCCCAATGAAAAATTAGCAACTTTTGTATTTGCAACGCTTCCAAAAATCACAACTCTTATTTCCATGGTTATCCACCACCGCACATTATCTATAACAATTATTATTATTATTATAGTTGGCTGGACTACTTGTTTCTAATGGTTGGTATGGTTGTTATGGTGCTTCTCAAATTGTTTATTTGTGTTAGTTACGCAAAACTCGCTTTCAAACAATACGGTTGCAAGCTGCAAATACGCTTTTTTGAAATTTAAGGAGAAATATGAGTGAAAATAGTGATGGTGAACTGGAAAATGCTTGGAATATTGGTTGTGATGCTGTGATTCCGGAAAAATCAAGGCAACGGTACGAAAAAACCTTTGAAATCTTTAAGAAGTGGTGCGTTGACAAAAACTGGAGGCACCAGATGATAGATACTTGATTTTGAAAGTGAGTTAATTTACCTGTGTTTTTAACAATGCAAAGAATTAATTTGTTGTTTTTTCGTAGATAGGCATGATATTTGGTGTAGCTGGAGCATGCAGAAGGGAGGAATTATGTAATTTGACTTTACAAGACATAGATAATCAGGAAACGTTCATTTTTGTTAAAATACCCAATACAAAAACCAATATTCAAAGGAGTTTCACCATCACTGGTAAAGAAGACCAGCGAGTGGATTATTTGGAGATTTGTAGGAAATATATCGAACTACGACAAAAAACCGCAAAATCAAACAAGTTATTCTTAAAAATTCGAAACGGCTTTTGCACTAATCAAGTTGTAGGAAAGAATACCATAGGAAAATGGCCAGCACAAATTGCCACATTTTTAAATTTGCAAAATCCTTCTCAATACACTGGACATGCTTTTCGCAGAACTTCTGCGACGCTTCTTGCAAATAGCGGCGTAGAAGTATTAGCTCTCAAAAGACATGGAGGTTGGAAATCCTCGACGGTTGCCGAGGGTTATATCGAGGACTCCATAGAGAGCAAATTGAAATTCGCAGACCAAATTTTACACCAAACTCCTTCAACAAGTGGTAAGACTTCGATCCAAACAACATCCAGACAACTAAACGATGAACCTCATCCTGTTTCTCTGATAAATGATACAGAAAATACGGTTGTTCTTGATAAGCACATAAGAAAAGGAGGTGTTGTGATAGATAATTCACATAACTGTATATTTAATTTGTATGTTAACAAAAAATAATAATATTTAAATTCTATTAATATTAAACCTATGTACTTATAGTTGTTGAGGTGCATAATAAATTATAATTCTTGTTTTATTTCTATTTCCATAGTTGACAACACGGATTAAATTGAACTAGTGGCCTCCACCAATATTCGAGAGTGTTTGATGACACGAAAATAGCGGGCAGTAAGTTCAACTTACCGCCCGCAAACGCGGGCGGTAAGTAGTACTTACCGCCCGCTCGTGCATAAAAATATAAACAAAAACAAGGAATCAGCTGAGAATGAATTTACCCGAGAATTTACCCTAGTACAAAATCGAAAAAGAAATCGTAAAAGCAACCAAAGTTTTGTTTTAGGAAAGGCAAATTTTCGAGAGGATGAGAATTATGCAGGCTCAATTCAGAGGTCATGTTTTTATCTCGGTCGCGTTAAAATAGGTGTAACGCCCAATTTTATTGAACAGCATAGCATATTAAAAAGCAATGTCCAGATATTAGGGACCAACGGACCTTAAAGTTGAACCCTTGCCAGTTAAACGAGAAACTATCTCTTTCAAAGTAAGTATCCACTCGGATTACAAGGAAAACTTTTCACGACCTGATATCTGGCCAAAAGGCGTAATTTTAAGAAAATTCTGGAGGAACAATGTACGTAAGTTAGGGTTGCCAGACGTCCCGATTTTAACAGGACAGTCCCGATATTGGAGATTTTGTCCCGTGTCCCGATGGACTATACGTCGGGACGCTAAATGTCCCGATTCCACGAAATTCTTTTGAAAGTTAGATAAAATTAAAAGTACTTATAAGGGCGAGTATTATAAAACTATTTAGGACGGGTATTATAAAACTATTTTGATAGAATATAAATTAAAGTTAACTTGTGCAATGAAGATACTTCTCATAGTATTTCCAGAAGTTAACTTTTAGTTATCTTTCAAAATAGTTTTATACCTGCCCTTAGGGCGGGTATTATAAAACTGTTTTGACAGTTAACTTGAAGTTAACTTTTTGAATTACATATAATTCTAGAAGTTAACTTTAAGTTAACTCTCAAAGTAGTTTTATAATACCCGCCCTTAGACAGATAACTAAAACTTTACTTCAGGGGGCCGATTCTCGAGCCAGGGAGTGGATCTCCTCGAGAGAACACATTTTTCGTCTTTATCATTCTCGTTTACTTTTCGATTACGTTAACAAGGAAAAAACATTCGTTCTATCGGGAAGCTCTACTCCTTTAAACGAGAATCCGGGCTGGATTATCCGGCCCCTGGAATAACAAGAGAAGTTACGTCATTCCAGAAGTTAACTTCTAGTTATTCTGACAAAATAGTTTTATAATACCCGTCCTAAGTCACTCTTTTTGAATTGTACCTACTTTTAACCCCGAGCTTGATTTTATTTTTCAGAACTATATTCGTCATTGATAATCACTGTATGTGGTGGGTCTGTTAGAAGATTTATCTACAAAGCAAGTAGTCTGTTTCGTGAGATATCATATACTCCCTGGAGTCTGGAGATATCCAGAGGTTTTTTCTGTTGGGGTGAAAAGAATGGAATTTTTGTCCATTTTGATTCTTACTAAAAGAAGGTGAACATTTTGGGAAATAATTAAGTTGGGTTTGTTTCATATTTTTCATTTTATCCAGATTTTAGCCCTTTTCTCATTATTTAAGAGGTTCGAGCAGTTAACTGAAGTCGAATACCTACAACTGGACAGT